ACTAGTGTGTACGCCATTTTCTAGACTATCCTGTACCTTAGCGAATGCTCTAGCATTTACTAGATATAGGGTAGTCTGGTATATAAAAGAGGGTGACAACGTGACGGAAATAATGTGTGTGTAGGTAATGAGTAATTGAACTGCAGTCAGAGAGAGACGTATTGTTGAAGTTAACGTTCGTTGTTATAGCGTTTGTTTTAGCTCGATTGTTGAAATTAAGTGTATCGTAAAGTTATATTCGGAAAGAATAAACCAGTTTTATTAAGTAAGGACTTGTGTCACTAAAGTTTCGTCGGAACGAAGTTACGGAAAGTTAATTAACAAACAGAGACGTAACAGTACTTTGTTTCAGTTGTTGTTATGCTTTAATACAACGTACTCAATCATCTGCATTTATTTGTTACTAGTACTATCAAATAGCTACAAACTGTACTTAATTTGTTTTATCACAATAAAAAAAAATGTAAAGAAGAAATGTTTTGACAGGCTGAAGTTATCAATATTGAGTAATACAACATTTAAGTGAACATTCTGGGAATGTTAGAAATTTTGTTTGATACCGTAACATTAATACTTTACTTTATTTAAGACTGATTTATGAACTAGATATACAGACATTTAAACTGCAGTTCTTATCTGGTCATGATAGAGTTACTTCATATGAGTTTACATGGTTTCACATCACAAGTGACAACTCTAAACTAAGACCCATAATCTAGAGGCATTTATTAAAGTTACTGATATTCTGGTGGCTTAGGCCTAAGCTCCGGGGAACTGCTGATTGAGTACTGGGCATTTATATGCTTTTTAAACTGTAAAATAATTTTTTCGACTGCTACTGAGAGTTGAAATCACATCATTATATACAAGCACTTTATGATACAAATCAATAACATTAGCTACATCCAATCAGGTTTTGAGTTCACAAATGACTCTGAAACAGCTCTTGGCATTCACTTACAGAACAGTAGCTAATGAATTCAACAGAAATGGTGTGTAAAATACTGTAACTGTAACAAGGAAAATCATACATAACGAGGAAAGGGGGATTTTGATTTTTGAAAGGTTTCAGGGTCAGCTAAATCCAAAAGTTCCACGATATCGCAATCAATGCATCTATTGGTTAAAATGTAAATAATGCTATGATGATGTCCAGATTCAGAAACTTTATTTGAATTTATTTCATCATAAACTTGTAAATTCTTAGGCATCTTATTATTTTTTTATATCTGAGCCTATGAGTAGCAGGCACTTGATGAAACTTGAAAATATATGTCCACAAACATCCTTCTATATAATGTGTATCCATGCATATATATATTTCTTCAACTTGAACTATACATTACATACACTGAACTTTTTTGTGAAATAAGATAAAAAACTTCATACTAATTCTTAATGTGGTCTGAAATTCTTGAACATTGAAGCAACATCCATTGTTCACATTGACTTCTGAATAATTCTTTATTTCAAAGAGGTTGTACGATTTTTTCTACAAAACAGTTCTTCATAATATCTGCCACATACATAGTGAATTCAAGATACTTATTCCTATCTCCTTTGTCCTGATTTTACTTTAAGCTCTATATGTTACCCAACACTCATTTTATAGGTTAAAGTGCCTCAAAGTGTCAAAATGACTCATTACTTCATTTTCTTATTTACATGAAATTATAATGACATTAAACACTCTCTTTTGATTTGTTTAAATTGGAAGTTTCATACATAACAAATCCTAGTAAAAAACAACAACTAAAGGATGGCTTTACACATCAGTCACTCGTGTAGATACATTGACAATATTCTTATAACTAATTATTATAGCCTACTTGTCACAGCTATACAAATTTATCCACCAGAGCTCACTCTAGAAAAAAAAAATATTTCACTTAAAAACAAAACAATCTGGATTGAGATATCAGCATCATTAACCCATTCTCTGCAGCTGAGATGTATATTTCCCATTGAAGATAGTCAAGATGATGAACCTGAACCCAGCAGAGGAAGGCATAAACAGTATCAACAGTGGGAAAAATTTGACCCAGGTGCTGTGAAGGAGGAACGAGCACTGGGAGATATATATATACATCCCAGCCACAGTAAATGGGTTAAGAGAAAGAGAAGTGGACAAAAATAAATCGTAGAAAAGCTCAAATTGTTTATATGAAAATGATATGGGCATGTTCTATGAATGAAAGAGAATAGACTACCAAGACAAGCAGTGGGCTAGAAGACTTTGCATAGAACAATAGAGAGGGATATGAAAGATAAAGACCTGGACAGAATAAAGGTTAAGGAAAGGGGAAGAAGACCAAACACAGTGGAGAGACTTCACAGCTGACCTATAGATCACTTGAAGTCTGGAAAGGACTGATGATTTTGAGGTTATAAACTTTCAATTTTTAAATACAAATGTTCTAAACAAGTTATGTTACAATGCTTACTACTAACTTATTTACTTTTATTCAACATTAAGAAACTCCTTGATAGAGCTTGTAAACTCACTAGCATTTTTTATCAAATGAGGTTTCTATTGTACCTTAAACACAAAAGTCATTCAATTTTATGGGAAATTCAACAATATTTTTTATTTCTTGTTGTCTGATTCTTGTATTTCTTTTCAAGTGACAGGAGTTAGTTCAATTGGGAGTAGTTGTGTTAGATATACCTCATAATATATTTAATATGGTTTTCTTTGTATTAGATTTAACTTTTTTTATTTCAATTATTCAATAAATATTTCAAATATTTATTGTATGATTTAGGTATTTACTTAATTTCTTATTCATTATTTTTTATCTTCATAAACATTAGTTTTTGGCTGTACCCTTGGTAATGTCCTGCTACTTGATTAGTGTCCTGCACTTAAATAGTAACTTTTGTAGCATAGCAATTTATCACGGATGTCAAGCTCCTCTAAAGGTATGCTGTCAGAGCTATTCAATGGGTGTTTATTAGTCACAAGACATTTGTAGGTATGATTGTGGAAAATTTGATTATACACAGTTATACCAATATTGCATTCTTCAACAAACATTAAATCTATGAAAGTACTTGAAGCTTACAGCTAGTGTTTGTGTGTTCTGTAAGATATACTCCATTTCTGTATTGTTACTATAATTAACAGTACTGGTTATAACACTTAATATAACTAATCTTATTATTTTTAATTATAATACTTTTATTATAGTGATTGCTTTGTATTGTTACCTTAATATACATGTTTGTATTTAGGATTAACGGAAATTTCCTAAGCTGGCTGAACCTCATGAGATTTTATTGGATTTATAGCCAAAAATGTTGTTAACAGCAAGGGTACCAAACTGATGAATCAATGTATTCTAATCTTTAAAAGTAACAAAAGTATATTTATTTAACTGTATTCATTACCATGTGGATTTTTAATTTCAGTCTAAGTATGTAGCTTCTTATGATTGGAATATCTATCTATCTATTTATATTGTGATGGATATATTACTCTATATTTATTTTAATATTGATGTTTGTTTAAATTAAATTTATGTTTAGAAATGTACATAACGTATACTGTTAAATATGTATTGCAAAACTCCCGCCTATTCACATTGGACATTAGTACCTTTACGAAAACACTACCCAACTTCATTGGTGGAAAAAATCGGTGAAGAATACAGAGCTAGTTAGCTCTCCATTAAGTGAATTATACGTACATCAACTCGAAATTAACTCGCTTATCGTGAACCCTTGATAAGACATCAAGGAAGTTCCAGACCAGAAAGAAGACTTTATATTGTTTGTAAAACTTTTGTATATAAATTATTGTTTGTAATAACTATTTGTAATAACCGTTATTGTAAATTGTATTAATGCTTGTATATTAAAATACATTTGTATTAAAAAAGAAAACTGTGTATCAATCTTGTTGGCAAATATCATAAATTGGATACATATTGGTATTTATTTAAGTACGAAATTGTAATACGTAACAATATATATAAAAGCCAAGCTCTGTCCCTATGCTCCCTTTGTCAGTAATGCTCGTCACTGTTAATAATGTTCAAATTTCCTCAGTGGTTTGTCTCAAGCAGAAGTACTGAGTTTAAATCCCAGTCATGTGAGAATTCTTTAAACTTTTTTTTCATATTATGAAGTGATTATGTTTGAAAAAAGATTAAAATGTTAGGGAAATCCAGAATGATTTGATAATTTATATTAGGGGTTTCAATTATTTGTTAACATTCAAAACCTGGGTGTCAGTGGATAAAGTGCTCAACTATCATGTGAAAGTCTTGTGAAATCCCAGAATACTTTGGATTTTATTATAAATTTAGTTTATTATTATATTCAATTTTTAATATATTTATTATCATATATACAAGCTCTTCGAATATTCTGAAAAAACAAAAAAACAAATACAATTATAAATTAAATCAGGGATAATATCATATTATACAATAAACACAAGTGACTGTATGTGTCAAAATCAACTTAAGTATTTTTACAACCCAATAGATTATTATTCATGTTTTTCACTTTCGGTAAGAGACTATAATTTAGTCAAAACATTTAAGCATTTTTGGGAAAAGTTATACCTTTGTGCAATTGCCATAAAATTCATTGCCTTTGCCATCAATATTAATAAATAGCAGGGCCAGACATTTGACCATATAAAAATATTTCTTAGAGAAACACTTATACAGCTTTACAAGAAACAGATTTGAACATAAAAATATATACAAGTCAAAATTCTAATCAAGGACCACTTACGGGAAATGACCAAATGTACACAAAAATGCTGATTTTGTGAAATATTAGAAAAGGATAAACTTTCTTTATATATATATATATATATATATATATTGTTACTATAACATTTAGGAAGCATGTTCATGAAATATTTATTTAGATTTAATTGTTAGAGGAAAAATTAATCACAGCTTACAGGCATTCAGTTGGGTAATTAATAAATGATACTGCAATGTTTCAACATTTTGAGGAAATTAAACACTATTGTTTTATATAAGTGACAGCATGCATGTTCATTTAATATAATTAGTACTTAAAATTGTCTGTACTTGGTGAAACTCCATAATTACAGAATTTAGGAAGACAAAGACAATTATATGTTTCCCAAGTATTTCATTTATTATGTCCATGGATTTGCCAATAAAGACATCATCAGAAACAAGTTATTTCAGTTGTCTTTGTTTTCTCCAGTTCTGTATGTTTGTTAGTTTGACTTGATGTTTTTTTCAAAGAACATTCTTGAGAAAGTAAAATTTAAAAATGGTAACTTTAATAAATTTTTGTGAAAACAGAAATATGAAATTAAGAGGAAAATGGAGAATGGTAATCCCCTCGCATTCCTCCAGTTTTGCTTATCAGCTGGATATTTGTTATTGTTATGCTGTGTGTGACAGCCTTGCACATGTCATAAATTGTTAGGGCTGCCACACTCACTGCTGTTAGAGCCTCCATTTCTGCACCTGTCTTTGCTGTAGTCTTTACTGCAGATCTAACATTCACCTCAAATGTACTGGGATTCAAAGTGAGTTTCACATTTACACTGTGAAGAGGTATGATGTGACAAAGAGGGATTATTTGAAAAGTTTGCTTTGCTGCCATGATTCCTGCAAGTTGGGCTGTTGTCAAAACATCCCCCTTCTTTATTAGATTTTTTTCTACAAGACGAAAGGCTACAGGCCCTAAACAAACAGTACAATTGGCTTCAGCCATTCTAATTGTTTCAGGTTTGTCTCCCACATCCACCATCTGTACTCGACCATCTGGATCAGTGTGTGTTAGTTCAGTACTTTTTGTTGCACCATCAGTAGTGGGTGTTCGGTCTTTAGCTGTTGTATTACATGTCTGTATGTTATAAAATAGTTTCCAAGAGATATGCGAGATTTTCAGGATATTCATATACCGTAAACAATTAGATATCCAAGGCATAAACCTCTTATGTATGGGTAATATAGAAAGCCATTTTTTGTAATTAACATTAACAAATTTCTCAACATCATTCACACGCAACACTGGATGTGACAGAGGACAGTAGAATTTTTCTGATGAAATGTTATCATTATTGCTGATTTCACACTGTCTACATTTCATAATGTAATCTAGGAGGGAAAACAAGAAAAAGGTAACAAAAATTATTTTTACCTTCACACTGTGATATTTAAGGGAAAAAAATCAAAGTAACAAATCATCAAGGTAGCAAAAAGCATCTTAATTTCACACTGTGGTCTCTGAAAAACACAAGGTTACAAACCAACCTGATTTCATACAACTACGATATCTTAAAAACAAATGTTAACAAACCATCTTAATTCGAGTGTAATCTCGTAAAAAGGAATTGAATATAAAAGAATCATCTAAAGTTTAGTAATACTGTAGTAGAAGAGCATTACATATTCTAATCACAACAGAGCTAAATGCTTTGGAATAATAAGTGTTTATATATAATTATTGTTCATAAAACAATGCATCCTAAGCAATGTATCTTCAGATTTTATATTCAGTAAATAATCCCATATATTAACCCTTTCCTTATTTTAGGTCATTTACTGGTTTTTATGGATACCCTTATTTGACTATTTACTCAAGTAGATACAAGTGAAGCATATCCTTCTAATATTATTGAATGAAAATAAAAAATATGAATAAAATAATTTGTTCCATTTATCATAGGTACACATTTTCTCTTGAGTGAAAGTAACTTAAGCAATTATCATTTTACATGTGCTTTCAGCATCACATGTCATGCTCATACGAAGCTCTCTTCTAATCTCATACAATGAACCAAAATAACCAGTTCCTACTGCCAAGCTCATGAGCATCAGCAGCATATCCAATAAATGTAGTTGTGTATCACATGTGATACTCAGGTACTTTAGTATTATATCCTGTGAATCACATGTGATACAAAGGACAGGGAGAGGGTAAAACATTAAAAAGTGATAAAACATAATATATAGATAAATATATAATTACTAAAATATAATGTTTGAGTAAATTAATTTCTCTTAGTCTTTATTGCGCAAAATTCATAAACAAGAGAGATACTGAAGTTATATTTAGAATGTTGCTAACATTCATAGATTTAACAGTAAGCTAAATGCACTGTTTTGCTCTTTCAATCTCAGTTTAAGTCTAGTGATAAATAGATTTTCCTTAATTAATTATTTTAAATTGCCCTCTACTTATAGGTTCATTACACTCATTCAACACATTTATTGGTGTTTGAAAATGATGAGGATCTTAAATGAGCATGTTCTTGTACTCAAACTGTTAACTACCTAGTGGTGAATCCAATATAACCTAAAGAACATTTATATTTTTATATTACATAAGATATGTACTCAATCTTATACTGAAGAAATACTGTAATCTGCATATAGGTTTGAAAATACATCTTAATTCCACTTGAGAGTATGCACAATAACATAACTTGTGTAACTGGTGTCTAATGAAAATAGTAGGACTAAATAAATTATTTGGTTTAGTAACATTCCAATTTTCTATCTCATTAGAAAAAAAAATCCATATTTACTTGTTAATTTACCAATATTTTAACCATACTTTTCTTAAATGACAATGATATAACACTGTCACAGTTTAAATACAAACCAGAGTCTTCTTATTAAAAATATTATTCAAGTTTACCCACTTTATCAGAAGTTGGTAGTTTTGTTGATGTTCAACACTGAATTTAATATTAGGATGTGTACGTTTAATTCAGTTTAAATAACACTAAATGTTGAGCTTCACTTAAGATAATTAAGGTATAACCTACAAATATTCAATAAAATATTAGTTTTAAATTGAAAAGGACATTCTTCAAGCCAACATTTTTCATGGTAACAGAAGAACAAATTAGTAAATAACAGGGCTAATCTAGTTCACATAGCAACACCATCAACTCGGTAATGGATATAAATTTCAAAGAGAAAATGGGATTCTGTGTTGTCAAAATCCAAAAGTTTCTGAAAGACATGCTTAGTAAATCTCATTTTATCACTCATTGTTATTCAGAAGTTCAGTGCATAAGTTTTTGCCAGAATTACAGAGATAAGAAACAATGTTTCAATAAATTCACACACACACACACACTACTAAACTGATGAAAGAACTAAAACATGCTGTAGGTTACATAAAATTCTGTATAATACTTTTGAGATTTCATGTAAAAAATGAGTTTAAGATATAACATTTCCATTTAATAAAATATAGAAAATAATAAAATGTCAAAAAAGCTATTTTTAAGGAAATTTCACTTCAATTCTTCAAACTATAAAGAGACCTGAACATTTTATATAATAACCTTCAAATTATTGTATATTAGATAATACTTTCATTGAACACACAATTATACAAGGTTATTTGAATCCTTTATCACAAAGACTGATTTTGACTTTTCCCTACAATTATCTAACTTGCCTGAACATTTAACCTCACCCACCAATCAGAATCATTGGACGGTTCTTCATTTTGTTAATGTTGAACATGCCTGTTGATTAAAGACAGATGCTGATTGAAGAACATTCTCTCTAATAGCATAAATTACTCATATCTTTCTCTTAGATAATAGGTTACCTAAGATTGTATTCTTAAACTAATAATACAAAAGTCAGAGAAACTGACAATTCTCCAAATGGTACTGTTTATATTTTATTAGCTATATTCTAATACTTAAACCAACATGACCCTATCCAAAAGAAGTTGTACATGTAACTTTCTAATGTTAATCTAATTACAATATTATACATCTTACCTTGACCTAAAGAAGTTGTACATGTAACATTCTAATCTTAATGAAATTACAATGTTATATATCTGACCTTGACCTCACAAAGTTTTACATATAACTCTATAATGTTAACTTAGTTACAATATTATACATCTTACCTTGACCTAAAAAAGTTGTACATGCAACTTTCTAATGTTAACCTAGCTACAATTTTATGCATCTTACCTTGACCTAAAAAAGTTGTACATGCAACTTTCTAATGTTAACCTAGTTACAATTTTATGCATCTTACCTTGACCTCAAATTCCAAATCTCTCCCTATCTCAAAAGCTACCAACGTCCCACACAATAATACCTCTATCACTCAATCCACTAAACTAAACACTCATTCACTCTCTCACAGTCACCCTCAACTCTTCTTTAGGTTCCATTCTACTAGGGGAATAAACACAAATCATACTTCCTCCAAAATATCACATTCCACAAATGGCAACATTCTTTCATTTTGTGCTTCTGTTGTCCATTCTTGTTTACCCCAAAACCTTTCCACACCCTTATCTCCAAAACTTCACCAAATCAATATTAGTGTAAACACTGCATGTGCCACACTACAATCTTCACCAGTCAAGAAGTAGTACATGTAGCTTTCTAATGTTATATATGTCACCTTGATCTCAAGAAGCTGTACATGTAACTTTCTAATATTAATGTAATTACAATGTTAAAATCTGGCCTTGCCTTTAAGAAGTTGTACAAGTAACTTTATAATCTTAACCTATTAACATGTTATAATTTGACCTTGACCTGAAAAAGTTGTACACATGCATTTCTAATGTTATCAAAATAAGAATGTTATATATCTGACCTTGACCTGAAAAAGTTGTATACATGCATTTCTAATATTATCAAAATAAGAATGTTATATATCTGACCTTGACCTCAAGAATTTGTATGTGTAACTTTCTAATGTTAACCTAATTACAATTTTATACATCTTACCTTGACCTCAAGAAGCTGTAAACATTATATTCTGATGTTAACCTACATAAAATGTTATAATCTGACAATGACCTAAAGAAGTCGTACATTTAACTTTATAATGTTAACATATTAAAGTGTTATAATCTGACCTTGAGCTCAAAAAGTTGTACTTATGACTGAGTTTTTGGTGTTTAATGTAACTATTATTATACACCTGACCTTGACCTCAAGAAGCTATAGATGTGACTGACTTTTTGGCATTTAATGTAATTTTTATTACACACCTGACCATAACCTCAAGAAGTTGTACATATAGCTTTCTAATTAACTTAATTACAATGTTAAAATCTGACCTTGACCACAAGAAATTGTAGATGGAAGTTCTAATGTTAACCTATTTACGATGTTATATATTTGACCTCGTCCTCAAGAAGTTGTACATGTAAGTTTACAATGTTATACACCTGACCTTGACCACAAGAAGTTGTACAAACAACTTTCTAATGTTAACCTAATTAGGACGTAATATATTTGACTTTGACCTCAAGAAGTTGTACGTGTAACTTTCTAATGTTAATATAATTACAATGTTATACATCTGACCTTGACCTGAAGAAAGTGTACACCTAACTTTCTAATGTTAATCTAATTACAATATTATACATCTGACTTTTACCTCAAGAAGTTGTACATGCAACTTTCTAATGTTAACCTAATTACAATGTTAAAATCTGACTTTGACCTCAAGAAGTTGTACATGTAACTTTGTAGTGGTAACTTAATTACAATGTTATATATCCGACCTAGAACTCAAGATGTTGTACATTAAACTGACTTTTTTGTGTTAATGTAGTTATTATTATTATACACCTGACCTTAACCTCAAGAAGTTGTAGATGTAACTTTATAATGTTAAGCTAATTACAATGTTATACATCTTACCTGAACCTCAAGAGGTTGTAAATGTAACCTTCTAATGTTAACCTAATTACAATGTTATATATCTACCTTGATCTCAAGAAGCTGTAGATGCGACTGACTTTTTGGTGTTAATGTAATTATTATTATACACTTGACCTTAACCTCAATAAATTGTATACACAACTCTCTAATGTTAACTTAATTACAGTGTTACACATCTTATTTTGATATGATTATAAATTGAGGGGAAAACTGATGCCTTGCAGATGAAACATTTTTTTTTGGGGGGGGGTTGTGGTATTTTGTATTTGAATGCACAAAGTTTACAAAATGTAACGACAGTGTTGTGTATTCAAAGTAATTACAACAGTTAAGAAACCTGTGTAGACTAGTCACATAAGAAGTTATGTACATTAGAGTTCTGAATTAATGTGATGGCTGTGTGAGGTTAAACCTATTCCATAACATGGGATGCTCACCAAACACCTCTGGTACAAAGGACACTTTGAGCTGAATCATGTGATCAAAAATGACAAACTGACTGACTAACATAATAAAATACACCAGATCTAGCAATGTTTTCAAACTGGGGTATCAGAAAACCTTAACACATACACACTGTTGCCAGAGATTGGCCTCTGATGGATAAGAAATCCATTCCTCAAATATCTTTCCATTTGGAATGCATAGTACTATCTACACCCACCTCTTCCTTATGCACATGATGTCTTCCATTATTTTATACCCCTAATTTCATTTCTGTATAGTTTAATGAAGTTTAAAAAGCTTTCCATGCACACACACATAAATGTTATTTTAATTATATAGATAAGAAAAAGTATACAGAGATTTGTGAAAAAAATTCATGTTTCTGTAACATACAGTTTAAAATATCATAATTTATCATGATTTACTGTTTAGAACATGAGCATCAGTGATGACAAATTTATTTGACACATAAGATTGAAAAACATGATACATAATATGTAGTAAACAGAAGTAAAAACCCACTGATCCAAAATGACATATTCTAAACACACACCTGCATGTTGAGGTTTCTTCCGTTTAACAGCAGTACTAATGACTTCTAAAAGATGTTCTTGAGATATCCCTGATCGTAGGATATCTCTCAATGACACCTCTGATGATCCAAACAAACAAACCTTCAAAATTAATAACTCTCATAAATAACTGGTCAATTAACACCACAAATATCTGTACAGTTTCTTTTAATTGACTAATATTATTCATTGAAGGTAATATTAGAGACCTAAATATTTAGGTTCATTGTAGGAATTACAAATGCTTACCTTTGTTGTAGATATCAATTATTTTTATTTTATTTCTTATTGTATTCTTTTAAATATTTTCTGTAAAGTTTTTATTTTAAAAAGCTGCAAATTTATTTTTTTGATTCAAAAAACACTACACACAGTTTCATTGTTTATGATCACTGTCTACCAGTGGCAGATTTATTACTAAGTGCAAAATTTGTGCATCAAAGCCCCCCCCCCCCAATTAAGGGGGCACCAAACTCTAAATTAAAGATGTTCGTATACAGGTTTTATGAAACACATATATGACATATTATTTTATTATTGTTTATTTCACAGCAAAGTATGTCATTTACATTTCATCCAAACACAATTCATATTACTATACCTTAACCCTTTCACTTCTGATAAATGACTTGTCATTTATTGAAACATCATGTACTGAAACATCTTAGTAATGCTTATTTTCCATTCCCTATACCAAATTTAAGAGCACTAGCTGGGCAACTTAAAAATTAAATATCTTTGAAAAAACAGAATTTTGTATTTCCATCATTTAAATAATTCAGAACTTATTTTTACATTTCAACCTTCCTTTCAACCTTGCCAACCTTCCCATATTTGTCAAGAGTATCCCAGAATCGTATATATATCCTCCCAGCTCCCAGAAGGGTTGCCAAATATCCCACATTCTCTAAACAAAATTTTGCTTGCCAATCAAAACACTTTCATGTCCCATGAAATAAATAATCATTCCCAAAAAAATAATGTATTACACAGATAAGCTTTATGATTTTTTCTTTCTTATTTCTAGTACACATAGTGAAAATAAATATAAATTTAAATAAATATTTCTTACAAACAATTAGGATGTTTAATTTGGTATTTCTGTACATATTTTTAAAAATATCATTATTTGTAAACAGGTTGATAAAAATTTACGTAAACTATCACTTGCATTTATTAGTCTTTATATGTCTCCAATTTTTAAATACTGTATATGAATTATGAAAATTTAAATATACAGGGTGTCCATAAAGTCTGGAGACATAGGGCAATTAAAAAAAAAGTTGTATATTGGAACTACAATTATTCAATGTGTTCTGCCCCAAATTTAGGTCATAATAAATAAATATATTTAGGTCATGTCTCCAGACTTTCTGGACACTATATATATATATTTACACACACATCTGTATCTCCTATACATAAGCAGCATTGTTATGTGCAGGAAGGGCAACAGATTTCAGCTTGCAACCATAAGTTGTAACATGCATTTTTTTACCCTGTAGCTGTTTTCCCCTGACAAGGAACATTCAGTTAACTAGCATCCATGAGTGGGAATAACTGCTGCAAGCTCATATGAAAGGAAATTTAGTAAGTATAAGTAATTAGTGATTTTTTAAAAATTAATGTTTTTTTTTTTCTTTTAAAACACATTGTGCAGTAAGAAAAATGAAAAGGGTATATCAGTCTGGTGCAGAAAAAAGAAAATAATGAAATCTAAAAAAACACCTACAGAAACAGAGAGGTGCAATTTCCCATTTCCTAAAACACCATGTGGCAAATATGAAGGAATTAGCTCATTTGAGAAAACAAACAACCACGGTGCCTGTGAATCTTGTGATGATCAAATAAATAAGCTGTCAACTAACAGTAATGACCTAATCCAAAATCAAGCTGAAATTGAAAAAAATATTTAAGTCCAGCTATTAACTACTCAGAGGATATTGCTTTATGGCCAGATATAATTACTGACAAAGTTATTGACTATTACATAATAAATAAACTCAAAATATTGGAGACATGAGGGAATTAAAATGTGAGCATCAAGATCACAACAGAAGTTATTTTAGAAGTTTACAAAAACAGCATTTTTATCACCTAATGTTGAATAGTCAAAAAGAGAAATGTGAATAGCTTGTCTATAGCAAATATGTGCATTATTATCTTTGCAAGTTATTTTCAAATAAAAAAGTTAGTCTTACAAGAAAATTGATTAAGCATGAAATATCTAGGTACCACATATTTGCTATGTTCAAATTTTCAAAGTGTTGTACTAATTTTGGTCGTGTTGACTCTGAAATACATGGTAGCTACTGTTGTCTAAATTAGGGTTAGGATTACAGACTATGACGAATCTTTAAATTCAAAAAGAAAAGATAATTATTTAAGTTGTCTTAAGCATCTTAGCAAATTTGATGATTTAAAAAAAATCATTTGGAATGCTATAATAATTGGGGTCAAGGAATTACAAGTTATTTGTCACATCAAACATGTGATGAGTTCATAAAACTAATGGCAAATTAGCTTCAGCTTAAATTCAAAAATGAAGTTAAAGTGAAATATATTTTTCCATAATTACTGATTCAATACTGGACGTAAGTTATATTGATCAATTTACTTCTGTAATAAGATATATTGGGGAAGACAGGCAAATAAAAAAGATTTTTTGGATTTATTCCTATAACATCTCACACTGCTGAAAATTTAGAGGAGGTTGTGCTAAATATCTTGCAAGTATTAAATCTAAAAAACAAAAACTGTAGAAGACAAACCTACGATAATGCTTCAAATATGGCTGGAAAATAATCGAGACTGCAAGCACGAATTAAAAATCAAGCAGCATCAGCTTTATTTATATCTTGTTGTAGCCATTTGTTAAATCTAATTAGCAATTATGCAGCAAAATTTCATTCTGAAGCCACATTTTTTTTTGTAATTTCGTACACAAATTATTTGTATCTTTCTCTGCTTCTACACAAAGATGGAACATTCTTACAGATTGTCTGGGGAAGATACATTAAAAAAGTATGCGAGACCAGATAGTCTGCAAGAGGAGGTACTATTTAGGCTCTTAAAGACAATTTTTGCAATTCAAGAAAGCTCTTTTGAAAATTTGCAAAATTCCTGCAAAAAAAATTAATACTAGAATAGAAGGTACATCTTCAGTTGAAAAGTTTGGTGATTATAAAACAAAACTGACAATTTTTGTATTACAGCAAGTAAATGTGGTAAATCTATCATTACAAAAACCAAAGCTGAATATTTTGAAGGGATAAACACCATTAAGATTCATTGAAATAATTCATCTTTGAATTAAGAAATGATTTTAAATCAATTGAAAATGATGGAAGTAATTTATCCACCACTAGTGACAAAATATTTTTTGAAGAAAGGAGTAAGCAAAAAAAACACAGATAGTATTCTATGAGAAAAATACTAATAATGAAGTATTGTTAACAGGAAGATACTGATTCATTTCTAATGTTCCTTTGTAATTTGGGAGCAACTAGATACCGAAACTGACAAAAGAATTGAAAGTTTCAGTAATGTTATTAAACATTTTAAAATATTCTTTGATTTTACAATAGATAACAAAGAAAGGGTTGAATGTTTAAAAACTTGTCAAATTTATATGAAAGTGATTTAGACACCAATTCAGTTAAAGAAGAAACAGCATGTTTTTTTTCAAATTTTGTGAAGAAGAAAACGTTTGATGTCTGAGTGACATGTATAATTTACAACTGAATGGATTATATTAAACATTTCCAAACATAAAAACTGTGCTGAACATTTTTTAACTCTTCCTATTAGCAATGCTACAGGTGAAAGGTAATTTTTTACGTTAAAAAGAGTGAAGAACTATTTACTTTCTTTCACTTCTGAACATAGAAAATGAGGAATTAGAACAAATGAATTGTGAAGGAATTTTCGACCAGTTTGCAGTTAACAAAATCAGGAAAGTTTTGATATGATATAGGTATTTATACTTTATTTGAGTTTATATTATTATACATACCAAATACAATATTAGTTACCAATTCACACCATTATGAAATATCTAAATGATTATGTCAAGAGTAATGAGGGGCCCAAACTTGAGGTTGTGCCTAGGGCCCAAAATGGCTAAATTTGCCACTGCTGTCTACCATAAAAATAATTATTTAATTCAATGGTTCAATTTTGCCCTTGTGGAAGAATGCATCCATCCAGGCATGATAGAGTTAAAGATAACAATACAATAAACTCAATAATGTCCATTATTTGGCTCTAAACATAAAATACAAAATGTAATAAATGCTCAGAATCCAAATTCTTCTACCTCAAGAATTTAAGACTACCTTTAAATTTCCATCAGCAGTAATTCTAAGACGGTTACATGATCCACAAAAATGTTCACTCATTGATGTGATAAATCCTACTTGCCCTTTCCAACCAGGGATTTTATAGGCCTGCAAATAAAAAAATACCCTTTTTTTAGTTTTAAAAAGGAAAAAGAGCACTTACATTTCACAAAACCTTTATCACTTGTATGAAATCAATAACTTGGTGATACTTCCTACAATAGCTAAAATTTAAAATTTCATGAAATAAAAGACTTGGAATAATATAGATTTTGCAGAAGCACATGTTAGACCTCTATGTAATATTAAGTTGTGGCTATTGATATACGTGTTATTTAGACCTCTATGTAACATTAGGATGTGATACTTGATATATATAAGTAATGGCTAGATCTCTAAATAACATTAGGATGTGGTATTTGAGACAGAAGAAACAGTAAGATCTCTACGTATTATTTGATAGAAGCAGCACTTAGACCTAGATGTAACAATAGGATGTGGCATTTAATAAAAGCATCAGTAGACCCCTACATAACATTATAATGTGCCAGTTGATACAAAGAACAGTTAGTCCTCAATGTAACATTAGGATGTAGTATTTGATACAAGCAACAATTAGATGTCAATGTACCATTAGGATGTGGTATTTGATACAAGCAACAATTAGATGTCAATGTAACATTAGGATGTGGTATTTGATACAAGCAACAATTAGATGTCAATGTAACATTATGATATGGTATATGATAAACATCGGATCTTTACACAATTAAATAACAAAAGCTCTTACTTTAGAAGTATCATTTAGTCCATCTTTTAATCTTGACAAGTTTGCCCATTCTCTCTTGATTGTCTCTAGCATTTCCAAATAGGTCACCATCTTCTTGCTATTCCATTCATTTCCACCAAAAGGCATGTACTCAATAAATCTAATGTCGAGATCCTTCCATGACAACACAAACAGATTTGGTCAAACAATAACTGTACAGTAACACTAACATTTATTTCAGTAAACAAAAAAAAAAAGGAAAAGTGTTCTAATTCTCTTAATTTCATGTCTGCCGCTAGAGCACTTTTGTACATGGCAGTTTTTTGTGGGTTATTCTCAGAAATGAAATGAAACATTAAAATCACTTAGTTATGCCACCATTTAGATCACTCATCATATGCAGAAAATAGTTTTATCTTTATGGTTACTGTTCTCTAGTGTTAAGGTGGCATCAAATCTGAATGCCAGCAAAGCCACATTACTGTAACAGCTCTTTAAACTTTAGGAAGTTCCTGTAAAACTTAAATACTGAGCTTTTCATCATATTTTTAGTAGAATGATATTATAGTTGTGATTTTACACAATACACATATCTAGAAAGGCCTAGATGGTTGACTCATTTAATATCTCTTTCTAGATAAGCATATTCATATTAGCTTTATTAATCTACACAGAACGTTAGTGCACTCAAGAAGAAAATGTTCCCTGATTACCATGAGTGACATATTTATATACAGAAAGTAAGGCAGAATATGATATGATGTAGTGATGAAGCAGCAAAGATAACTATACTTATCTGTAACAAAAGTACAAACACTTCTGAGATATATTTTGCACTTCAATTTCATATTTTTTGGAAATGAAAACTATTAAAAGAAACTAAATTAAAACATAAATACAATAACTACATTGGATATGATACTGATTTTGATTCAATTATTTAAAGTTCATAGTTAGTGAAAGTACAATTTTTGAACTTGGTTTATAAATTAGCCTTAAAACATTCATGTAAACTATCTAGATATATCAGATGGAATAACACATTCTTTTAAGCTACATGGATTAACCAATATCAACAAATTCCTGTAAACTACCTAGATTTACCAAGATTCAAATATTCTTATAAGCAATTAGATTTATAAGTTAGCCTTAAAAGGCCTTGAAAGCTATCAGCATTTAGTAATATTAACTCATTCCTATTAACTATCTCAATTAACCAGTTAGGCTAAACATGTTTCTGCAAACTACTAGACTTACAAGTTAGATTTAATACAGTGATGTAACCAATTGTCTAATAGTTTCATTATTTTTTCACATATATCAAACAAACATTCCATTCCAAACACTTTAACATCTGAAAAATCTAATATGTCCCTACTGTTAGTGATAACAAATTTTTGGCACAAAAATCTAAAATTCAGCAACTATGACTTGTATCAAATTTCTCTCCACAATCAAATGTAACATATATTATGTAGTCTTGCATCTTGTGGAAATCAAACATTCATTGTAACCGCAAAACACTTTAAGACTGAAGCTGGAAAGTTATTTACTTTTGACTTTTTATTATGTTAGATTTTAAAAGGAGGTTTACAGTCACAATATTAAAGGTTCTAATGTTTAAAATCTACAAATGATGTTCTGTGTGACTTCAATATATGGTTTACCATAAAATTAAAGATTCTGATGTTTGAAGTTTACACATATGAAATAAATAAAGTACAAAAAATCACACCTTATAGCCCTTCCAATGCATCAAATATCTTACAATAGTTCTCTGTAACACATGACCAAGAATAATAAGGTGGAGATCAGCACAAAATAAGAAACTTTATAATCACAAGTACTTTTAGTTCTTCTTTATGAGTGAAGATCAAGGGCTTCCATATATACCTCAGAACTTATTTAAGAAAGTATTACAAAACACTCAGACATATTGAACTTCAAAGATTTTCTTCAAAATCAGCCCAGTACTTTGCACCATGGTCTCATTTTCTCCAAAGTTTCAGAAGATTTGTTGAACAAATGCTTATGTAGAATGAATTATAACTGTTAGACATGCCATTTTTTGGACTAGATTTAAAGCATATGGAAAAGGTTTCAAGTTTACAATTCTACTTAACTCAAATCTTAGAAAACAGTTCTCATGAAGTAAAGAGGCATTTTGTCAGAGAATCGACAAATGGGATATTCCAATGCCAGAAACATATCTAACAATATTTTGTGGTTTGCCAGAACTCCAAACCATCATACAAATTAAATAGTTAGAACAAGTTTATTCTAAAACATGAAGATCAGTAAATTAAACTCACTTGTTTCACTATCACCCCCCCCCCTCCAAACCCTACCAAAAAAAAAAAGTTTTGTGTACCTACACTTCCTATAGCCTTAACTCTTTTTCTCAAGTAATTCACTACAAAATCACAGCTTTATATAACCAATACCAACTACACATACTTACAACAGCCTAACATCACAAGTCCAATGGGTGTTAATAAATTTCTCTTTACTACATCTTAAGTAGTATATTTAAAATTATTTTTCATATCACATGTGTAAGAGAAAAAAAAATACAACAGATAAGCTGATAAAACAAATTAAGGACTTACTTTCTTTTCAGTCCATCTCACAAAATCACAAATCTCATCTTCATTAAATCCTCTCATCACCACACAGTTTACCTGACAAAAAAGAAGTCTTGAACTGAGTTAATTGTGTTCCAACGGGCTCATGTATTTTACATGATCTTGTAACCATGAAAATAGACATAATTCTTAAAGTACTTAATGTATCTTCACAAAATTACAACTCTTTTGGAGATAAAAATCAATTTTTAATTAGGTATTTTTACTAAAAATTTGTCTTTAAATATATGGAGTCATAGTATTCACTGCTATGAGTGCAAAGTGATTTTCTTGTTAAGATTCAAAATACTTTCCTTCATCTGAAAATTTTAATTTACATAATCTCAAACCTCCTAAATAAATATCAAACATATTTTTTAAAGAAACTTTGTATCTTATATTTGTTATTTTTTCTAACCTAACTACATGGAGTTGATCACTTTGACCAACCTCATAACAACCATAAAAAATTCGGAAAAAAATCTAAATTGGTCATTTTTCTTTCTAGAATGACTACAAGTTGTGACAGGAAATCACAATTGTTTATCCTAAATAGCTTAAAGCTGGTAACAGCATACATCTATTTATACTTAATTTTATTGTTTTATTGATCTTTGAACCACGTCTAACTAATAACCCCACCATACAAGTTGTAAGTCACTCAGCAGATGTGCAGCTCACATTATAGTATTGAATTATGTAATGCATGAGCTGCTCGTGAGTATGCTTCAAGAACAATTTTTATTATTACTATCATTTTTTTATTATCTTACCTAATCTAAGCTAATAAATTTCTAATGTTATAATTTTCCAAAACTGAAAATGTATTTCTGACAGGTACTTACTTCCACTCACATACATAACTATTCTCGTTCAGTGCTGCCCTCTATTTGCAAATATTTGTTGCATGTTACAAGCCTTTCACTTCCATGCACCCCTCAATTCACATGGTTTAACTGAATCTTACATGCAAATTATCATGCAACAAACCTCCACCAATAGTAGTGCCACACACTCAAGTGACTCCCTCTATGCTATTGCACCTATCATTTTGAGTTTAGGCAAAAACATAAGCACTGGTTGACAGTGGGAAGGAAGTGCGAGTGAAAATATATTTTCAATATAGGAAAATTATAACTTCCGACAAGGTACCCTACTTCCACTCACATACATAGCTAGAATTCCACATTGAATAGGTGGAGGAACCGTGTGAGGGAGAAAGTAGAAGCATCCTTCGAAAGTGTCCAAAGTACACCCTAATGAGGGAACTCTCTAATAAGAGGATTATATGTTGGGGACCACACTACTTCTGTACCAGGTATACTCTTTGCCCAGATATGGAAAAGGTAAGGCATATTCATGCAGAAAATTGTGAGAAGCACATCCCAATGGGAGAAAAAAACAGTTGGTCAATGATCCTAACCACAATACATTATAATTTCATTCTCGCTGATGAACAGAATCTGGGTAAAATAAGGGAAGTTCCCCAAGGTGTAGAGTGGCTAGGGTGCAACAGACCATACACAGCAAGTCAACTGCATTAAAACTCGACTGCTAAGAACCAACATCCATGAGAGGGTAGGAAAGAAGATCATATAGTCTTCACCTCAAGTTCAACCAATGAAAGGAAAACATCCCACTACCAATCTGTGAACAGTAGAATGAAATACATATATATATCCCACTAAAATCAAACAAGGCCCGGCATGACCAGGTGGTTAGGGCACTTGACTTGCAATCTGAGGGTCACAGGTTCAAATCCCTGTCCCACCAAACATTCTTGCTCTTTCAGCTGTGGGAGCATTATAATATTACATTCAATCCCACTATTTCTTGGTAAAAGAGTAGCCCAAGAGTTGGAGGTGAGTGGTGATGACTAGCTGCCTTCCCTCTAGTCTTTCACTGCTAAATTATGGATGGCTAGTGCAGATAGCCTTCATGTAGCTTTGCTCAAAATTAAAAACAAGAAAACAAACAGAACGTAACCACTTCAAATGCAGTATCATCCTTGGCATAAAGACATCGAGGGGTAGTGTAAGAGGAAGAAGTGGAGCAACCAACAACTGAACCCACCATGACCCACAACACTGGGGTATTGCACTTGAGGTGAACTGAGTGAGGGACCAGGGACACCTGAACACATGTATGAGGACTGATGTTTATTGATTCAGCTCTAAATCCAAAACTCAAACATTGGGAACCAACATTCATGTGAGGGTAGGATGAGGGATCCCAATCAAAGGGGTGAACTGCATTTATGCCTGCACAGTATATGTGTGAGTACATCATGTCAATTGGTTCAACTCTAAATGCAAAACTCAACCACCAGGAACTGACATCCATGTGGGGGTAGGAAAATGGATCTCAATCACATGACATGTATGAAGACATATGGTGATTGGTTCAGCTCTAAATCCAAAACTCAAACTGCCAGGAACCGACTTCCATGCAGGGGTAGGATAAGGGTTCCCAATCATTATGATGGCACATTCCAAAGCTACAACATCCCCTTTGACAAACCCATGCAGAGATGGAGTGTCCATTTGGAAGACATCTCATCATTTACACCAGCAGCACACCACTGCCATACTCTCAACTGAATGAAGTCTTTATTGTTTATATTGTCTATCTCTCATTCAGGAGGATACCTCAATGGTCCATCACCCCAGCAGATTGGAACTGGAAAGTGGTAAGGACTCTCTTACTCCACTGGAAGAAATGCATTGGAGAGTCCAGAGGAACGTTCACATTTGAGACAGTGCAATGGGTGACCAAAACCCTATTTTGAAAAAGCAGGCCCAAATACGAATTATTCAATCTAATGAATGGCAGGGATGGGCAGCAGTTCTCTTCTGCATTACACATGAAGTCTATGAGTTAGTACGGTCCAGAACAGGCATATTTATGAAGCAAAGATATCATGAGGAATAACCTACAAACAATCTTGTGGAACACCCCATCTCTAGTTTATGTGATTGTAATGAACAGTGTGCATTTTGTGGCCATGGAAATTGTGAAAGCAAAGTCAACATGGCTTTACAGAGCTAGTTTTAGCACAATTCAAAGTGATTGAAGTAAACCTGGACAGGCACCACTTTCCACAGAGTGGTATCCCGGTCAAAACATGGGACAGGCCCCTGAAAAATAATATATATAACAAAAGAAAGAAAACTTACCCAGTTACAATCTCACAGAAGAGTGAAGGATGTCAACAGGTGGAAGACAGTACCATGACGAGGAAGAAACATCTAACCAAAGCAGATAATGGGAGATGAACATATGAGGTGTAGTCTCAGTGCTTGACAGAAGAAGTTCCTCCAACGGACAACAGGGTTGAGATGCAGGTAAAAGATAAGGTACTTGATCAGTCTGACGACACCAGAAATAGATTATTATGGGAAGAAGTAGACAAGGAATAAAAGGCCAATCGAATCACAAGCCAAACCCAATGGGTAAGGGAGGAAGAGAAATATCATGAACAGAGGAGTGGTGCAAGGGAATGAAACTGCAGGAAATGGAATTACCAGAAAGAAGACTTGAAAGCAATAAGGCAACATAGAGCATGTACGGGACAGAGAAGGTCATCCGGATCCAACCGAGAATAAAGATAGAAGATGGCAAGACACGAAAATGATGAAAAGAATATTCCACATGAGTCCCCAATGTGTAGGTTTGTAAAATCGATTCAGAACAAAACGAGCATATCTCACCAAAACAGCTGAAAAAAACAGATGTTTCCTACCAGGATGGATCAATCAGAAAAACCTAACATGGACGACCAAAATAATCTTGGGAAGAATACTGACAGAATGAGAAAAACCAAAATTATAAACTGGATCTAATCCTGTATGAATGTATCAACAGCCAGAGCAAGTGGATGAAGAACCAAAGACCAAAAACAAGAGGCAACTTGAAATCAAGAAAGGAGTCAAATGCTTCCCAAGGAGGAGTACTCCACAGGAGGAAGAGCCACCAAAAATTTGAGGATCAGGAGACCACTCTATAGGAGAAAGTGTGTCAGGACTGGAAAGGCAATCTGCAATGAGGATGAAAGCCCCTGGAACATGACACACCAGGAGACATATGTCAAGCATGTGGGTTCAAAAAGGGAGATCCACTGTCTATCACAAAGGGAACAAGAACAAGTGTTCCCTTGGCAAGTGATATAAGCCACCACCATTGAATAATCGAAATGAAACATGATTTGTCAAATCTGGACAAGAGGAAGAAGGGAACTAAAGCATTAGACTACCAGAAATGCCAGTGTGTTAACATGGTAAGACCTTTCATCCATAGACAATTGTCCTGAAGCCTCATCAAGAAATATTCAGTAGGTTTACTACAGCAGTCTTGTGAAAACTTTAAAGAAAAAAATCCATTGAATACTATTAATTGTATTTTCAACTTGTTACAGTTTTGTACTACTTTCTTTGTATGATACATTTTCATGTAGAACAATTTAGGATAAAAATAACTTACTCCTGCATAACTGTACCTGAAAACAGGTTTTTGTTTTCCTCCAGCTTTTTATATTTTCTTTTGTCACAAATTTATAAATAAATTTTATATATTAATTCTAACAATAGTTTTAGCACAAAAATATTTTACAAGGAATATTTTGTCATTTCTTAACAGTTCGTGTTATTCATATATAAAAATGAAAACAAAGGTCAGATTTTAATTTTTGCACAGCTCCAAGGAGTTTCACCTGTAAAACACGTACTTCTAATCTTTCTTATTCTTTTTAGACTTTTTCTGGCCATTCAAAAGAATAACTTTTTGTTTGCAAGGAACTTTTCATCCTATAAAATTAATTTCTAGTTGGTTGTCAAGTTTCTCTTCTCTTTTTCTTGTAACTTTTTCATGATGTCACATTAAACAGTTTGATCATTTATAATGAAACAAAGCTTTGATACCAACTATAACAATGATTGGATAGAGCAAGACTGAATTAGATTTTTCATGTCATAGTACGATAAATAAAGTAGTATGAGTAGTAATTCATGGTTTTGTGTGAAAGTTTCTAGCCAAAGTGAAAGTGCTTATATTTATTTGAAAGTTACAGAAATTCTTAGATGAAAAGATACCAGATAATAAATATTATTTAAGTATAGTAGGTGACTGCAAAATATTTTGATGACTCAAATCCTTATGTATTTATTTATTTGTTTGTATGTTGTAGAGCACAAACTACACAAGGGACTGTCTGTGTTGTACCTATCATGTATATTTAAACCTAGTTTTGGCATTATAAGCCTTCGGACTTACCACTGAACCACTGGAAAGCCTTATCTATGGTATTCAAGTAACATCCTTAAAAAAATAAATTGGCTAACTAGCTAATTAGTGATTTCTAATTGAAATCCTTATATGTTTTGAATAAAAACATTATTACCACTATCAGTGAGAGCAAATCTTTTATTTATATATATATATATATAGCCATCTTGTGTGATAATAATTGATTAGTTTAATTCAATAGCTTAATGAACCTGATGATTAATCAATTAGCAAATTCTACTAGTTGCTTACCTCTAGTGTTCATTGTATTAATAACATTATTCACTATGTAGCAGTATTAAAAACGTTATAAACACTACCACTTATATAGCAGTGTTCACAGCAGTACCATTACTATTCTCTAAACAATACTGATAAAAAAAAATCATAAATAATACTGTCTATACAGTGTTCATAGTATTAGCAACAATAGTCTCTATACAGTGTTGGAATATTATCAACAACATCCTCTATATAAATGTTCATAGTAATAACATTTTCCTTAACTGAAAATGTTTTTCAGATAGGTACTTACCTCTCTTATCACAAAGTGCTATTAACTTATGCTATCTGCTGCTGTGTAATTTCCTGTGCATGCCACAAGTCTAGAACAAAGCTCCCACCTCTTGTGCCAACCTATGATGTAATCACATTCAACTATAGCCCTCCACCAATAGAAAGGTGACACATCTTCCATGCACTGTCATCTTCACAAGCACTAGCACGTGAATACAAAGCAAACTAAATTAATCGTAAGTGGAAAGAAAAAGTTGGAGGTGGTCGTGGCTGTCTATCTGAAATATACTTTAGGTAAAGAAAATGTTAATTTCAGAAATGCTAAGTGCAGTGGGATTATGCTGCCCAATGAGAAACTCTCCATATTGACTTCCCCAGCAGCTTGGGATTGAGGAAGTATGGGGAAGTTCTCCTGTACTCCACCAGAAGAAACTGGGAGTAGGAATTTGTGTGGAGGAAGAATGCAGAAGAAGTGCATGGACCATTGTAATCAGGAACAATCATCTGGAATTGGGTGCCACACTGAGAGACATTGCAATGTGTTACTCCAACTAAAGACAGCAGGTACAAGCCAGGCATGAGGGCAGGCATACACACTTAGTGTTATTGTTGTTTTTTCAAGTGCAGAATGGCCTGGAAAATATAGTAAATATATAGACAAAATATATGCTAAGGCATTCTTGTGGAAAATCCCATCTCAACAACAGAGAAAAATGGGATTAATACTTTATGTACTCCTTCCTTTGATGCAGCTTTTGGGTAAGTATTTCTTGTGATGAAACACCAACCATTAATGTTAAAACCAGTATAAATAATACTCTCCATATAGCAATTCCTTGCACAGTGCTTTTAAAACATTATCAATAAAATCCTCTATGCAGCAGCATTTGTAGTATTAATAACACTACTCTCTATACAGTAGCATTCGTAACACTACTCTCTATATATTAGTGTTTAAAAATGATCAACAATATCCTCTACGTGGCAGTGTTCAGAGAAGTAACAACACTATTCTCTGTATAGTAGTGTGAAAACATTATAGACAATACCATCTGTACACCATATTGATAGCAGTAGCAATACAGTAAAGAGTTTTGAAAACACTATTCTCTATACAGTAGTGTCTATAGCATTACAATGAAGCTATTTACAGAGTAGTGTTAGCAATATTAGCAGTTATATTCTCTATACAATAATGTATGTACCATTAACATTTTTAATGCTAGAAACATTATAGGAATCATGAAAGTTTAATAAAAAGTGTTAAATAATGCCTGCTACACATTGGAGGCTTACCTAATCCAAAATAAATCTGTTAAGAGCCAATCCCTGGTGTGATTTCAAAAACATGTTTTTTTATTCTTATTACAATAAATTTTACCTACCTTGACTGGGCTGTAACCCAACTGGAGAGCATGGTCAATACCCTTCATAACCTGTTCCCATCCCCGTTGTCTTGTAAGAAACTCAAACTTGGCAGGAACAAGTGTGTCAAGGCTGATATTCAGCTGGTCTAAACCTACGCAAAAATAAGTAATGACAATTATATAACTGAACTGCTCAAATAATTCTGAGAATTCTACTAGTTACTGATTTCTTTACCATCAAATTACCAATTTGTTTGTAAATCACTCACTACCTATGGTGTCAATATTGTTTCATATTAGCAGGCCTTCACATTTAACAGGTGCCATTGCACTGATGCTTGTAAGCACCCATAGAATTGGTTTTGCAAGGATTTATTAGAGCCCCTGTCGAGTCTGTCATAATGCTCACTGTTCACACAATCAGCAGTTGTTTGTTTACATGGGAGAAGCTCACAGATAATTTCCTTTGACCCTGTTCGCTGCTATGACTCCAAAACTTTAATTTCAATTGGCCTAGATGAGTGATGCTACACACACACACAGTAATACAATATTTTCAAACTTTTTCAATATTTGTTGTATTGTATAGACATACACTATTTGTAACTGAGAAATTAAGGCAATGTGTTAATTTAAATTAAAAAATTGGTTATTAATTATTAGCAAATTTAGAACAGTAAGAAGAGCTTTAACAAATTTGACTATTATCTAAATTGCACTTGATGAACTACTCTGATTTTGTTCATAACACGAGGCTGCAAGGACTGTCATACTGATTGGAACCATCAAAATTCAGTTCTGGTTTCCCTTTCAATTGTAAACATGTCTCAGTTTAACCATCAAAACTGTTTTGTTGTCAACATCCAGCCTGTGTTATAAACTAACTACATTTTACCGTCAGTATTCTATAATATCGCCTTTTACTTAAATGGTAAAACCAAACATTTCCTGTTTAGGCCTATGTTTGTATGCAAATTCCAAGTATCTACAAGAAGTGAAAGAAAAACAGTTGATCCTAAAACAATTTTTAGTGCGTTAGACACATCCAGCAATTTAAATAGGTTTATTTTACATTAAAATTGTTAATGACTTTGTACACATTGATAAGTTATTATTCAAGGCCTAACCTTATGATATGCACTTTAACTAATTTTCAAATTACTTTTCCACTTTAAATTTGGTTATTTGTTAACTTTGTGTCAAGTAAGCATATACTAAGGTAAGTAGAGAACTGATTTTGTTGTCTTTATTATTTAAGTACAAATTTAAATATAATTGTTTTTATTTTATGTACAGTATTACCTGTTCATTGATTTTTGATTTTTCATAAACTGATAGGCCTATACATAAGTTGTTTCTGGTAAATTTCTGTTATCAGTCACTAGGATTATATTAATATAGATTCTACTGTTCATTGATTTTATTAATTAAAGTTTTGCTGTTCTTATTAAATTGCTTTATTACAATGTATGTTATGCAAAATTTATACATTTATCATTTGTGCTTTTAAGGCTTTAAAAAGTTGCTTGAAGATGATAAGACTCTTCTTGGCACCAGTGGTACCGCTAATGATGGCCCTTCTGCTTCCATTATCCCTCTTCAATCTCGGATAGCTCTGTATGCACAAGCTAAGGAGGCATACAGAAAGTTTCTTAAAACAGTTTGCTTGTTGTGGATGGACAGCCTCTGTTGGCATTCAAATCTTTTGTTAAAGTGTAAAAACAAAATAGGGTACAGCTGGTTTAAAATTTTGGTAATGCCAACAGAGTACAACAATTAAATCATTAATGTCATTGCAGAAGCCATTTATGAGAAAGTAGTAGTAATTTTATGTTCAACACTAGCTTTTGTAATGCTTAGTGATGGAAGTCGGGCAAGTAACATTTTAATTTTCCCAAAGTGCATGGTACATGATTTGTTCCACACACACACAAGATGTGGAGTAAGTCATTTACTGAGTAATTGGGTAATTCTTACTCAAGCTATAGAGAATTCCCTTGCCAATTGCTAAGAGATAATAGTATTGGCTACATTTTATGGGCTCTTATAAAAGATGAAAACTTTACTACTTTTCTGTTAAAATGTTGCTTATACGCAGGAGTGTGCTGGCAATCTTTTAACAACTGGTTCTGATTAAGGTAGAAATTTAGATAGTGGTGTAAATTGGTGAGTGCCAATGGCATGAGCCTTTAAGCTAAATATTTGTTAAAAATCAAGAAACAGTTCAGTGATCCAATCAAAATTTAACAATTGGTCTGGCTGAACCAGCTACAGCACACCCCTGCTTATACAAAAATGTACTGGGTGCATGTTCTATTCTGTCTATGCAGTTTGAAAAAGAAAACACTTTATCATATCAAATACTGCCTATGGTATGTTACGACAGCAGAAGTGATGCGATGCCGGAAGCATGCACGCTGGAGTTTCTCGAAGGATCAAGAATTATCGGGGAAGACCGAGTCTGTTCAGGACACCCTCTTCTTTAGTATATAAGCCTGGAGAGAAAAACCAGCG